TAACCTTTTCTCCATTGATCATGTTGTTGATTGATCCAGTTTGAAGATTTTTGTTCTCTTCACATTGAGTTGTGATACGTAGTCTTTGATCTGCATCTGTCAGTGCACCAAGCCCTCTTCACTTTGAGCGAGCCAGGTGGTGTCATCCGTATATCACAGATCGTTGCTGAAGTTTCCTCCGCGCCTGCTGCGTTTTTCTTGATGTAGGTGCGCTTGCTTCTCAGACGATGTGCTCCGTGTACAGCGTGACTACATCTGTTGAAACAACCCTGGTACACACCTTTTCTCATTTTAAACCATACAGTATCCCTTTGTTCTGTTCACATGACCGCCGTTGAGTCCATGTACAGGTTCTACATGAACACAACTAAGTGTACTGGAATTTCCATAAGCACGTTACCCCCAAAAGTCCCAAACCCACCATCATCAAATGATTCTGGTTTATAGCCACCCTATATGAGGGTTGCAAGGCTGTAAATGCTTTTTCCCACATTAACACATTAGAGATGACTTATTTGTCAAATTTTATGAATAGAGTGAAAAATCACTCCATATTTTTATTGACATGGATATTATGCTGATTTAGATTAGTCTTGGTGCAAACCCTTATTATGAACTTGCTAAATACCAAGTCTCTTCACATGACTGGCTGATTTTGAAGTGTCTAATGAAATCTTTCCCTTTACCCCCACAGCTTATAGGTCTCTTACTGGGGTAATTCTTTCCCTTGGCTTCTCCTTAGCACTTGCCCCATTACCTCTTCCTGACCCTCTTACATTAAAAAAAGCCCCACCTCACTGCTATGAAGTCAATGCTGACTCATAGCAACCTTCTTGGACAGAGTAGAGCTGCTTGTGTAACTCTTTGGGGGTGGAAGGCCTTGTCGTTTTCCTGAGGAGCAGCTGTGGTTTTAACTGCGGACCTTTCAGATCGCAGCCTAACGAGTAACCGAACATCACCAGGGCTCTTACATTGTGAGTGTAATTTCAGGACTGCTTGGATGCCGGAGAATTTGCTGATAGTAGTTGATTGATGTAAAGCCTACTGCCATCTAGCAGTGTAGAGGAATAAAAAGTGGGCGAGGATGAAGATAGAAGTCAAAGTGGATAAAGCAGCTTTGATCAGAGATTTATAGCAGCATCTTTTGTTGCCACCTTAATGTTAGTATTGAGGTTTGGAAATACTGTGCATTGAGCACTCACTATTTCCTGTGCATATTTTCAATACATAACATCCGTTATCTCATTGGACGCTCGAAACCTAGGAACATCATCCTCTCGTAAATGAAGAAGTTGAGACCCAGAATGGTTGTCGTTTTTTTCAGTGTCACACATAGAGTTAATTGGTTCCAGCACATACATCTGTCCAGTGTCAAAGCCTGCTTTCTTAGTGACCAGCCAGGCCACTCTTCTAGGGTAGAATAAACTTGAGGGTGGTTGTGGTTGCTTTGACTTTAAACTTAGTTACTACATTGTGATTCAGATTTCTAAGATGTTGACTCCTAAGAGGGTGGTATCTTAGATCAATAAACTACATTGGTTTCTAAGTGCAAAACATAGTGAACTTGCTGGAAAAGCATGTTTTTCTACTTATAAAACTTAAGGTTTGATAGTTGTTGATTTCACTTTTTTTTTT